TTTTTGCGCTTTTTTTCCAGTTGAAAACACATTGATTTGGAAATTCTTGTAAAAATCAAGTAATTGTCCGATTTTAATGAAATTTTCAAGACTTATTCACAAATGAATGAAATTATTTTTGAAATATTTCTTTCTAGAAAATTTTAGTAAAAAATATTTGTTTTTAAATATGTTACACCCCACTTATTGTCCTGAAATTTCATTCAAAACCTTTTTATTTCCTGAAAATCTTTTTTTGTTTAAAGTAAGAGTCATTAGAGATGGTAAATCACCTACTTTTTTTTTTCAAATTTACGCTAACTAAAAATCTGCTCTGAATTGAAAAATAATGAATCCAATAAATCTATGATACTACTTAATTAGAAAAGCTTTTAATTGCTTTTGTAAATAAGTAATATTAAGGTCATTATTGCCTGAATAATTAAATTTTACAAGAATTTTTTCATTTGTTTTAAATTTTAATTATAATAATTTATAATAGTTCAAAAATCGTGCAAAATTCTGTATTAGGCTATTTCCTTGTGGTAATTAGTAATTAAGTAGAAACAAAATTTACGAGTTCAAAATTGCAAAGTTTAATAAACTTGGTTGTGCTAATTTTTTTTCAAATAATTTTTTATGTTGTATTTTTTTTACTTAATACTTTCCTTATTTCCATGTACAGTAGACTGAAATTGCCATTATTATAAAAAAGAGTTTTGTCCCTTTCAGTAAAACTAAAAAAAAAGCGTTTACTCAGATTTCTAATAATTTTCATTTTTTATGGTCATCCTTAGTAGCTGTCATCACTCGTCACTCAACACGTAGATCAAATATAGATAAAAATAACAGTACCAATCGTTAATAATTGGTTGTATATTACTTTTTTATGCTAGAAGTAAGTAATATTTCTTTTAAATCAGATTAATTTAACATTAAATTTTCTAATTTTACTAAAATAACGTGTCAGAAACTTTTTTAAATATTTTTAAAATCGATAAATTTGTGTTTGTTTACAAATTTCTTAAAATTAAGAAAATGGCGGGAATTTAAGAAAATTTAAAATTCCAAAATTAAATTTGACATTCCAATGTATATAGTTTCTATCTGAAATACACCAGAATTGTTTCCTTAATGGAAATAATAAATTTAATGATTAAACTTTGAATTAAAGCTAAAATGAAATCTTCAAGCATGTTTTTTCATTTTTAAAAATTTATTTTAAAGTTAGGTATCGAAAATTTTGCCGAAAAAAGTGGAGGTCCCTAATAACCATATTTCGGCTGAACTATTCTCCAGACTTCTTCAGATGGGTAACCCGGAATAGAAGAAAGAAGAGGTAAATATGTTTATTGTCCACTAAACTGTTCGGAAAAAAAGTCGACGGAGGATAATACAATAGTGTAATGCTTGCAAAACCGTTCCACTACGCACGCGCAGAAAGTAAAAGCAAGCATGTTGACTTTAAGTTTTTGTTAAATCTTTTTAGGTCAAGTCGATTTTTGGGTTGGAGCTAATCTCGAAATTTTATTTGGCAACCTCCGTTTGCGTCAGAATCATATAAGATTTTAATTAAGAAAAATGATTAATTCTTAATCGCAGTGAAATTAGTAGCAAATGGAACTCAAATCAAAATGCATTTAATCATTTGAACAATGAAGCTTGTATAAAAAGCTTTTAAAAATTTTATCACATTTTTTTTTGTATTCAGCATTCTACTACTTTGATTTAGCCCCCCCCTCCCGCCCACTCCACCTCACCGGGGGAAAATATTCAAGCCAGTCTCTTTGCATTAATTCTATCTTCTTGGATCCATATAATCTGATTTCTTTTTTTATAATTTTTCAGAAACTATTTTAATCATGCAATTACGAGTTTGCGCGTATGCTAATCTGCTGGGGATTTTAGCTATATCTTTTGTAGACCCCCACTTCTTATTTGTGTTTCTTCATAACCTATAAACTTCAAACTGCAACGATAACACCGGTCGACATTTGTTTTTCGACCCAAATGCTGTCGGGCAATGGGCACATGTTTCTGGGCTATTTCTTCACGCTAAATCTGAAAATCAAGTCCATTTTGCCCCATCACATCACGTTTTCTTAGTGCAGATAATTTCAGTTATTTTTAAAATAGGCCCAAAATAGTAGGGCCAAGTAGAACCAACCTTAAACGATTTCAGGTTAGAATAACTTATCATAAAAGAAAAAGTATCCTAATAACTTAAACATTGCATTTTCAGCATTTTCGGTTCTGACAATTTTTCAGAAAAAATGACACAAAATTAAATTAAGGCAAACATGTGTCATCAATTTTTGAATCAAAACAGACAAAGAAGATACAAAGGAATGAAAAATACATTAAATTTTGTCCGTCTAAATGTATAAATCTTCTCTTCTTGGAAATTCTACGGTGCTTTTGAAAAGGTTGATGCTCCAGCAGAAATCAGCCATCCTGTTAATATCCTATCTGCAAAGTGCCTAGTTGGTTATGACTATCTGGTGTTTGGTGGCTATTTTACGCGCTGATAAAGAAAATTCTTATCTTGATAGTCTCAAATACACTCGCCTAAGACCCTAACAACCCTCATTTATCGATATTTCTATGCATGTTATACATAGACTGCATGACAATAGCCGACCTCCGTAAATTTAAGTGAAATGATAAAACCTTTTTTTCTTCTTTTTTTTTAAGCAACTCTCCCCAAGCAAGGCAGGAGTGCCACTAGCACGCAAGAGTTTACAGAGAGTGAGAGTAAAAGTAAAGAGGAGTGTTTGAGAAAAGGATAAAGAGAAGGACAGGGATCAAGGCCAAGGCATCAGAAGATGTCGATTGACATTATATTTGAATATTTGAAGATTATAGCGATCATGGAGGTGCGAGATAAGAAGGTGTTGGAGTAGAAGAGATGGTTGTATTTAGCCGTTTCGACAGTGAAAGTGTGGGACAGAAATGCCAAATCTTATGGCGGTTTCAGACAAAATCTACTAATAAAAACTAAGATCGCTGTTCTTGAACGACTTCTAAAGAGCTTTTTCTATGAAAAGTAGAGAAGAAACATAAATGACAAAGTTTTAACAAGCTAAGAACATTGAGGGTACAAGAACTTTTTCCAGTGAGATACCTCTCATAAAATCAAGCATTTTCATTTCAGCTTATCTGAACTGAAATAGCTTAGAATCCATTTTGAAAGTTATTTGGATACTTTTTCTTGAATTATAAATCATTTTAAGATGAAACGAAATGTTTCAACTATGTCACTCGCATGTTTAAGCCGTGGCATGTCCCTGTGAATTAGGCGTTTTGGCAAAATAGAAATTATCTGTACTGAGTAAATGTGATTTGATGGGGCAAAATGGTCTTGAATTTCAGATTCAGCGTGAAGAAATAGCCCAGTAACATGTGCCAATTACCCGACAACATTTGGGTCGAAAAGAAAAATGTCAACTGGTTTAATCTTCTTTGTTAGAGTTTTTTGTGGAGAGAGTGTACAATCTGAGGTGACCATTAGTCGAACAGTTCCGACCAGAGTGTGATTCAGACACGATTCTTATGGTCTGAACAATATCATTCTACCCACTCGTATCGCCCTTAGAAAAAATACGAATCCATCATCCAAATAAAAAAAGGAAAGGACTTATTTACTAAGACTAGCTAGTTTGGTTGTACAATGTCACAAGTATAAGACAAACAGTTAGATTTGAAGTCACTACTCAGGAATACATGTCGTACAGACTAGAGAGTAAATTATTACCCCACCTCAAGGCTACCCAGAAGATTGGTCAGGTTGTTATATAGGGTAACCCCCAAAAATGGGAATTTTTGAAGTGCGTATTGCCACACATAAGCAAGTGGCAACACTGCGAGACAGTGACCTTGAGCATGTAAACATTTTGCCATTTAGAATTCAAGATGAAATCCACAGTATCCCAGCTGAGATGTTGCAGCAGTCAACGAGGAATCTCAACAGCAGATTTCAAAAATGCATTCGTACAGGAGGACGCTATCTATAGGACGTAATTTTTAAAAAATGAAAATTCCCTCATTGTTTCGTAAATGGCATGTTTTAAAGTTTCAATTACTATGAATAAAATATTTTTTCTTCCATCACTCTTGGTTTTATTGGATTGTTAAAAAGTTCCCGTTTTTTGGGGTCAACCTGTATAAGCGATCATTTTGCTGACGCTTTTTTTCATTTTTTCTGATGAGCAAACGCTACTTGACCGAAACGTTGTGTTTATCATAATATCCATGATGATCAATATAAAAACAATAGTTTATCATTTCACCCCAAACAAGCAAGTAAAGCAATTAAAAAACAAGGGCTTACTAAGTGTCAAAGAATGAGAAAAAAATGAAACATTATTAAGGAGCGTGAATAGTAAACGAAGAGGAATCAAGCAGACAGTAGATAACGATTGACATTGCGTTTAAATTTTTAAAGATTAAAGTTGGCTGGAAAGATCCAGAAGAGTGTTCCACAAGCGAGAAGTGCGAGAAAAGAAACTGTTAGCATAGAACTTATGGTTGCATCGAGCAATTTCAACTGTAAATTCATGAGACCTTTGTTACCAATCTAGTACTGCGTCCCTATTATATAAGAATTCAGTACTCGATTTAATGATGAGTGTTTCCTTTCTAATTTATTTTGTTTGTTTTTCGTAATAATATCATTATTTTCTCTTTGACTCACATGTCCTACCAATTTTTCTTGTTGCAGTTGATGCATACATTCAATTGATGTAGTTGTTGTTATTTGGTAAAGTTCTGCGCTTTTGACTTTGCAGGGTCGGTAGGTTGAAGGATATCCTTATTTAGTGGGGACTACATAAAAATTGATACACTCAGTAAAAGTCAACTGAAAAATATATATATATATATATATATATATATATATATATATATATATATATGTGTGTGTGTGTGTGTGTGTGTGTCTGTGTGTGTCTGTGTGTGTGTGTGTTAATTTATATTTGGGCAACAGCCTATTTTTTAAACATGTTTCGTTGTATATGAGAAACAATGAAAATCGGTAGATAGATAGATAGATAGATAGATAGATAGATAGATAGATAGATAGATATTTGTGGGAGAAAAGCGTGTTTATTATCACACAAGATAGTGTTGATATAGGAATCAATACTGCATAATACACTCACGAACACACACACACACACACATATATATATATATATATATATATATATTCTCTCAATATTAATCTATTTGAATATATTGATTCTAATCTCATACTGTAGATCGTGTAATAACGAAGTTTATGTGCCATGAAAGCGTAACTTTTATGCATAATTGTTAATTTGTGTGTTGCGTCTCTGGTCCTTCATCAAATTGTCTTGAGTCAAAAATGTCAGAATAATTGACAGCAATCTGAACTGCATGCTAATATATGGAATAATATATTAATAAATCTTTATTAGGTTTTATTACACGAGGGTCCTTATGCATATTTTGTTTGGAAGATTTTAATACCCATCTTCCATCCAAATAACAAGTAGACATTTCTTTTCTCACCATCAGTATTTCAGGCCTGCTATCTAGGAACATAGTGTAGTATCTGTTAGTCACCTCTCATCTTTGTTTCGACCAAATACACTTGGGAAAGGCATAAATCAATCTTCTTCCTCCAGGTTAAATTACAGGAGTTGTATCGGGAAAAATATTTGTTATTTCCAAGAAACGTTTAATTGTATAGTGATTCGTAATAAAAGTCTTCTTCTTTCAATTTAAAAATAATGCCGGTTTTAAATAAACCAAAAAGAACTGAAAAACCGTAAAAACAAAGCGTTCGAGTTGTTCACAGTTAATGAGGGCTGTCTGTACACGGTGATTTCAACCCCGCTGCAGTACCTCCCTTTTAGCAGTCTAGGTAATATGGTTGATGGATACTGACGCTAGCTTGACCTTGATCGCATGGAATTTATCTCTGGTCTATCGGTACACATATGGGCACCAAACCTAAAACCGATTATATCCCATCTTACCACCGTAGGGGAAGTGGCTTCATACCGATTGTTTGATCCACGATTTGGAGTCTGGGATCTTTTCTTCTTCCTTACTTCTACCTTCGGTTAGTTCACATTATTATAACAAAGAAATTTCAGTAATGTGATTCCATCTCTGCGGTGCTGCCTCCTATATGCAGTGTATGTGCATTAATACATAAAAAAAAATACATTACGTGATTTTTACAGAAATCTATTCAAATATACAGGGTGCCCAGTAAAACATCTGCAAATTTATTATCATTATTTTATTTTCAGAAATAATTAACCTTGAATAATCTTGAACAAATTTCTTGAATATTCGTGACCTTGAATAATCATTCGACTCTCGAGTAATTACTAACTCTGATTGGTTCGTTTTATGATTGATTAACTGCTGCTCGAAATGTGCAGAAATTCTTCCTGAATTTTTAATTCACATCAGTCGCCACAAGTTTTCACCTTTTGTCCCACTTCTTTCTGAATTTACTGCTTTTTAACTGGGCACTCTGTAGATAATGCTCAAGGAAAAGGCACTAACGTCTGAATTTAGACATTTGCAACAATGTCTAGATATTTTATGTCTTGGTCTGGGTACTGGTCAATAATAATGCTAGCGAAAATAGAGATCAGTAATGCGATGATGTATGAAGTTATTCAGTCTCTTGACTTCAGCGTTCTATGTAAGTAAAAGTTATAAGTATTTAGAAATAATAAAATTATTTTAACCTTACTCGACGCCTTAATTTGGCATAATCTTTCTTCATATACGCAACTGAACTCCGTAGATTTTGTTGGTGTTTTTTTACATTTATTTTGCGAGCAATTTTATTTTCATTTAAAATCATAATTCTGTATGATACCTTCACATAAAGTTAATCTTAAAAAACATTAGAGAACGGGAATTATGTAATATTTCGAATACGTCATAGCAAATGAAGAAATATATAAGCGCAACGTACCGTGCCCCGCTAAAATTTTAATTAGGGTTTAATTAATCGATATCAATTGCAACTGCAACGAAAAGCGAAATTAAAGTTAAAAACCTTTAATAAAGAATTGTTTTTAAAACCTTCCACTCTATTGAATATTTAAATTTAACCATAAATGAGTTATTTATTTAATTTTAATCGTGTTTAACTACAGTAGTTACTACCTGTTACTTCTGGTTGTTTATGATTCGCCGAGATCGAAAAACGGACGGACGGACGAACACACGTACACTGCGCTTTATTTATATAGATTACGTTCCCCCTTTTCTTTGCTCTTGTTTCCCAGCTTTTGACTCGATGTGAGTTTTAAAATGAATATTCATTTCTACAAAAGAAAAGTGTGTTTAAATTAGCGGATATTGACATTCGGATGGACGTAATTTATATCTCTTTTAGTTGGAAGTAAATATCGTCGCTTGACATCACACGCAGACATTTTTATGCACAAGTATTTGTCCTTAGTTTATTTTATTTATCATTTTTTTTTACTAATTATTAATTTCGAATTTAATATCTGATGCTCTTTATCTCGTCAATCATCGTTATTAAATATTTTAGTGTGTGAGTCGCTTAGAACTAAAGGAGAAGGAATTATTTTATTTCTACAATTAACAAGAAAAAAACATTTGGGTAAATATTCGATTCCTAGGAAGAAAGTAAATTTGGCAGTAATTTCGATATAACAACAAATGCACCCGGACCGTTCACATAACGCCTGAATTTTTGCAATGCATAGAATCACTTTAGCAAGCCTACATTAATTGATGTTTTATTGATATCATAATGCCAATCATCATCATCATCACCGACCTCGTCGTCATCTTCGTAATCATCCCCATCATCATCATCATCATCATCATCATCACTGTCGTCGTCGTCGTCATCGTCATCATTATCAGGCCGATGATCAGGTGTGGTCGTAAGGACGCTGCGCAGTTGAGCACCTAACTCGCTCTCTCCACCTGTTTCACTTGCTTAACAATGTCTAAGTCCCTGTGAAAGATCTCCTGGTCTACTCAGTGAAATCGTCAGACCCATTCTCCTCCATCAGCCTCCTCTTCTTTTGCCGATCGCAATACCTTGCAGGATGGCAGCGGAATGATTGTTGGCGCGTCTATAATTATTTCAACTTTATTTTCTTGATGATGGTTTTGACGTCTTCCAGTGGGCCTGTTTTATGTCGGATGACGTTTCACACCGTGTCACTTGTAAAGCAGTTAGCGTGGGAGATGCCTAGAGGGGTTCTCCATCTTCGCATTTCTAATGCATGGATTATTCGCTGTAATTCTGTTGTTAATGTCCATAATTCGCAGGTGGCAAAACGATTCACACAACAGTCTGATCTTTGATTTCAGGAAGCCTTTCTAGATAATTTTTTTTTAGTTTTGCAACAGCTACGATTATTTTTCCTGCCCTTAAAATTATGTCTTTCCTGCAGCACTCTTCATTGATAATGGAGCCAAAATATTTGAACTGCCTCCCTAATTTAAGTTCCAGAACATTGACATTTAATCTGCTTGAATGTCTTTTCTCATTGTTCGTCATGAGTTTGTTTCTTCGGCATTAATCTGTAGGATTTCCGATATCCGAACGATGTTTCCTTCAAGTTCTTCATCAGACTAATCAGTTCCTCTTCTTTTTCAGACATGCGCAATACTGATGTTTACATAATCGATGTTTTCTTCACATTAATAATAATCCCAATCTTGTAAACAATGTCTACCAGGGATGGTGTTAATATTCCTATCTGTACCTTTGATGATCGTACACAGAAATCCAATTATAGGCATAACGGTAGATTTAAGATGCCACGTTTGTATTAATTTAATTTTATGTTCCTCCTGTTAAGCTATCCATTCATAAAAATCCGCCAGGCTCAATATATTCTCCTATCAATTTTGAATTTTTTTGTTCGTTAAATTTTAAATAACAACGCACACCCACATCTATGGTTATTTTCTAAGCTTAGTGTTGTAGAGTAGTTTCACAGTGGAAGCTTATATTTGTACTAAGTCAGTCCTAAAATAGGTTCGACGTACAAAACGTTAGGAACTTGATATAATAGGTAATGACGCAGTAATCTAGTTGTGGTGGCTGATACTTTAATATCCGACTAACGGTCGTCCGGCATCGACTGACTGACCAAATCCCTGAGCGACCCAGCGACTCGTTACTATTACTACTACTACTTATTATAGGTGGGAGAGTCTACTACTTATTATAGGTGGGAGAGTCTATTAACTATAGAATAGGTTTGTTCCACTATAACACTTAGCCTGAATGTGGCACAAGACCGAATGTATGGAACTCCCAGTGAGGATCGAACCAATTACTCAGTCGTAATTGTTCTTAAGATGCAAATAAAATTGTAGGCTCCCTGTATTACTCCAGTAAGTACCTGACTCCTCATGTATCCGCTAGCTTTATAAGAGCCAAATCAATCCGAAAATGGTGTAATGTTATCATATTTAACCTGGCGCTACCTAGTCCTCACTTTCCAGACTTGATAGTGTTCAAAAGCGTCTCTGAGTCTTTGTTTGAAGGACAATTATTTTCCGCCCCCAACTTCTCTCTCACAGGCGGGATCCATCCACACCCCTATTCCATCAAAATATGTTCCACTCGAACAGATTTTACCCGCGAACCACTGTTCTGTGGAATAGACTCCTACTCCTGTTCAAGTCTAGAGTTAACCGTTATTCTTCCTTCTTATCCATATAAAAAAACCCTTAACGTAAGCTTCTACCTCGAGTGGCTCCTCGAACATTATACAGGGGGAAACTTACTATACAAAAAAAAAGTTAGCTTAGATGCCTGAAAGGCGGAACGTGTGTAGCATCCAGTGAAGATCAAACTCACTATTCAGCCGCCATTGATCAAGTGCTTCACTCACATTTATTATTGTTATTGTAATTGTTACATTTCTTGAGCCTAAATATTTAACGAGTCAATAAGTGAAATTCTATAGGTATTTTATAGTAATGAAACTCGACGATTCATCAGAAAATTAAAAGAGAAAAACAAGGAAATTTCATGAGCATTTCTAGATATTATTATAATTATTTCTATTATCATTACAGATTTGTGGTTGATCTACGCAGTAACTTTTTTCAGTGAATACCAAAGAGGAAAAGTTACACATATTTTG